TCATATAAAAGCCTGAAAATTATTGACCTAATGGAGCTTCACCTGTATCACTGTACTAAAGTCTAATATGCAGCAGTATGGTCATGCTAATTCTGGCAACTGCCTCCATTTTAGCCTTCTCAGGGCATGTCTACACACCCTAGCCCAGACTATGCTGCACCTGCTCCATCCATGCACTGTACTGCCCAGCTGCAAGCAATTCTTGGCAGGGAGTCAAGTATCTGCATTAGGCTTGGTGCTATGCTAAGCCGTAAGTCTTGAGCAGAGTTGCATAAATTAACGCAATTCCCCTCTCCTGTTTACTGCGGTCATCTTGTGCATCAGGCTGTTCTTGAGGCATGGGGCTTATTTGCTCAGTGCTGTGCTAACTCAGTCTATAGTGAGTGAAACCTGGGGTTTCTGGAGTGAGTGACACCCTGTGGTTTCTGGACCAGAGCTGATACGCAGGTGGTGAGGCACTCAGGTGGGTCAGAGCCATACCATACCTAATTGCAAAGTGTCTCCTAAGCATCTCTTTTTCTTTATTCTCTCAGTCATGGAGAGGACAAAGATCCTTATAGATACTCCTTACAAGGTTTGGAGAAAAAAGGCTGACAGACATTACACCTCAGTCTTCTCTGTACTTGTGCTAACAGGTATAGGATCAGATTCATAAGCCCTGATTGACAGATGTAGGTTAATTTTATTATGCATACATAAAGTTCCACAAACATAAATGGTTGGCTCTGAATGTGTGTAAGCTCCACCTCAGGATTGCCCTGGTATGGCAGTGCTCTTCCTGGGCTACAGCTGGCTTGTATCTAGGTAGCCAGGAGTGCTGGTGGAAGAAATTTGTGACCATTCCTACCTGAGCATGTAGATATGCTGGTGCGGGGGTAGGTTTCTGAAAGTGAGGCACAGCAGTGTTAGCTCTTTCCTCCCTTCCCCTCTTTACCTGGCCGCTTCTCACCACTTAATAATTATTTTGAGAGGGTTGGACTAAAAAGGCAACAGGACTTTAAGGACTTTCTTTTAAAAAAATAAACAATATGAGCAACAAAAAATTTGGGAGATGGAGACAACAGACTTACTAATCAGAAAATCTTCCTTCCATAGATAAAACTTACTAAGAATTTTTCATAACTTTTAGTTAGGGGAAAAGAGCTTTCAGCCAATTTCTATTTCTAGTACTGATATAGGTAATAGGTTTTCTTCTGAATTCTCATATTTAAACCATTTATTCTTTTATGCTTAGATATGCTTTTAACGTGTGGTGTATCACTTTGAATGTCCACATATGATGTGACATGGCAAGAGTCTTACAAACTGAGCGGCAGTAAAACAGTATGCCTAACACCTATCTTTGACCTCTAATGACAGCAGCGATTCAGACCCAGACTGGGGAGCCATGGTTTTTGAATAGCTCACGAGGAAAGGTATGGACTTCCAGAAGGCGTTCAGAGCTCCTAAGCTGGATGCTTAACTTTTAGATAGTTAAGCTCTTTCCATACCAGATCCATCTTTATGGAGCAGCAGGAGGGAAAGAAAGGCTGAGTCGCACAAGTCTGTCTGGGAAGATCTGCAGGCTTACAATAGATAATGATTTGCAGAATTAAGAACTGCAGAGCATTTGAAAGTATAATACCTGTGAATGTATTATTCTGATCCTGCAAAAATGTAAATGTAACTAAAAATACTATTTAAATCAACATACTTAATTTTAAGCATGGTGAATAGGCTGATTTGTGATCTTACATTTCAGTCCTTACAGGCAAGATATCTTTGCTAAGTGTCATTAAAAATTGAGGGATTAGCAACAAGACTCCGAAGTAACTGATAAATGGAATTGGTGTCTGGAATGCAGTGAAAAGGAGAAGTTCAACAGCAACTGAAAGCTGAATCTTCCTATCGGTGAGACTAAAGCAAGAGATGCATTTTCAACTGTAACATGCTAAATATGCCATGTGCTTTGAGAAAGATTCCTTACCATTTGTAAACAATCTTTCAAAGAAAAATACACATTCAACTACACGAGCAGTTTCAGAGATCTGTCATAATGCTACTTTTTGCTTTTGGTGAGCTCATATGCTGAACATGGTGAAGGAGCTTAACTTTTGGAAATAAAAAATCAGTAATGGAACTTGTGGTACTACAGAACTCAAACAAGGAAAGATTAAAAGGAGTTTTGTATCAGGAGTAAGAAAATCAAACCCATACTGCTTTGTGCTCTCCTGAATATAAATTTATATCTGTCTTTTCTTGGACTGGATTCGCATGTAGCGCTTAAGTGTTTTTCAAAACCAGGTATTAGAAGAAAATAATCTTCAGTACCAAAAATGCAGATAAAATATTTGTATTGAACTTTATAGAGTAAATTAAGAAATTGAACTGGAGTATTCCATGGTGTCATCATTTGTTGTTTGCTTTAAAAACAAAGAAAGGAATCCAAAAGGATTTGGCAGATTGTTGCAGAACCCTACTGATGGGGATAGTCCTGGTACATCTCACAGCCCTGCTTGCGTAAAGCTGCTGCAAGAATTTAGTAGGTTCAGGCTCCTGACTCCTACTGTGTAAAAGAAATTGAGAGGTCAAAGATGACAGTTGCTCTTTCACATCAGAATAAACCAGCTCAATACTTATAGCTAGATCTTAATTCAAACTTAACTCTGACAGATTGGAAAGATTTTAAAGAACTGTGGAGCTACAGTTCTTTAAAAACCCAGTTGTACAATCCGGAAGAGAAAAAAAACGGTTCTTACAAATCTAAAAAAGATGTAAACAACGAAAGAGGTAGTTCAAGCTGACAGGACAAAAAGGACTGTACTCAAGCTACAGTAAGTGTATTTGACATTCAATGACAAGAAAAATATTCTAAACTAAACACAAAAAATGGGAAAATGGGCAAACAAAAATCTTCAAAAAAAGAATTCTGAAACTTGACTATAAAATTCCAATATCATTAATCACTACTTCTAATCCTGCCAACAGTGTAAAGCGGGTGGCCTCATGACCATGCAAAATCTCATCTACTTTAGGACTGGACTAGCACAGATTAGCACTATATAATATCCATCTTTTCCTTTGGAAATGAACTTCATAAAAACAAAAGCAGAACTGCTAATACTGTGCATACTGCTTATTATTTCCAGTCACAGAATACCACAGTCTGTAAACAAGGCACTCCAAAGGCATACAACTCTCCTGGTCATCTAGGGGGAAAAATACTGCAAGGTCATCATCTTTCTCAAGGACATAAAAAGTGTTGGAGAAACTCTTGACCTTTTCATAAACAAGCAATGCCTTTGCATGTAACATATTCAGCAGTTATATAGTTTGTATCCCCAAAAAAGGCAGACCCTTTATTTTAAATAGGCCTAAAGTATCTGCTGTTTTTCAGATTATGCATCTGGTTTGGGGCATTTCGGGTGCTGGGGAGAACAGCTCTTCTGTCTTGTCCAGCACGGCTCTGCCCTGACTTTCTGCATTACTATCTTCCCTGCCTGTCGCTACTGACCAGAACTCACAATGTCTCATGGAGCAATCGGCATTTCCTTTAATGTGCACGTTAGTTACTTCTAGGCAGACGTAGTATTCCTTGGAAACAGTCAGCCATGCCTACTTGTTATACTTAGTTATAGTGTCACCCTTGTCTGTAAATTGGGGACGGGATGGGACTAGTATATTTCATAAATAGCAAGTACTATAAAATAGTTCATAAAGTCAAATAATTTCCTGTTTCTCATTAGGAATTGTGAATGCAAGTTGCATGTGCTGAGCATTTAAGCTTACCTAGTTTTCCTACTCTGGAATATAAACCAGGAGAAAAGTCAGCCAGAACTTTTTCACAAACGTGTACACTATGCTTTGTGGGTTTTTTTTAAGAAAGCAGGAGACCTTATTATTTGTGCATGAAAGTAAAGTACCACAGATACCCCACTGCCATAACTCAAGTCTACAGCAGGTATTTTTACAGCAGTTTTTGGAAATACTGCTAGAAGAGTCTTGCTAAGCTTGACTGCATAGCAGAAACCATGGGGATTACACAAACGTAATGTATACAGAACACTGTGCTGCCATCACGCAATTGTGTATACTATAACTCTGTGTGTCAGTCATTCACTCCAGAAACGTTAAACACAAAAAAAGGGAGCGGAGAAAGCAGCAACCTAACACTTTCAAAACCCAAATAGCATTAATGGGAGACTTCTAGCTTGAAAGTGATGCTTCCGTCTGGACATACTTACCCGGCATAACTGTGAGACTCTGAATAAATGAACAGGACTTTACCTGTGCTTTTTGCATGCCAGTAGCTTTACAAATAGTCAGTTTAAAAGATCTGTGCCATGGGCATTGCATAAATAATTTTATATACATAAGTATATATGTATATATATTATCTATGTGTGTGTGTACGAATGCACGTTAAACAAAAGCCCTAGGAAGATTTAAAAAACCCATAGCATACTTCATAACTTATTTTCTAGGATAAACTATATTTTTAATTAATCACTTCAGAAATCGAAGCTGTCAGTGACCTTTTAAAATGACTATACATATACAGCACACCGTTAGATGAACATTGGTTTTTTTTCCCCCTCCACTGCAAGCAAAGTTTAGAGAATTAGTTTTCATATTGAGAGATAATTATTAAGCTTCAATTTTGTTTCTTAAAAGTTTATCATTAGGCCTTTTGATTGTAAGCTTTTTTTTAGTTGTTAAGTCCAAGTAACCAAGCAACTATGTGCAGAAATTAACCTTTTTATTATATTATATACTGTAGTAGTAAAGTTTGTTTGAAGTGCATGAATAAAAAGTTAATGAAATTACAGGAGGAACAACCTAATATAGCAATAATAGGTGCATTCACTGTGCATCTGAGAGGAGGAGGGGGGAAAAAAGAAGAGTTTTCACTCATTTTGGCCTAAAACGTGTTCAGGTTTCCAGGATTCTGACATCAGAACCCAGATAACACTGGTTAGAACCATAGGGCTTTACAATAAAAGCTAAAATATTGACCATATGATGGCAAAAAGTCTTTATTTTGTGGTTAACTTATTCTCTTCTAGCTACTCTCTGATGAAGTTGGTGGTGCTGTGGAGGATGATCTCCTTCTTCTTGACAAAGATCGTGATCGTTCAGCACTGTAGGCAACATGCTTATCATAATTTTGTATCTGAGCCTCGAGGAAATCCCTCTGTTGCTGGCTGATTGTCTGGCTAATCAGTCCAGGGAGAGCTTGAATGCTACCAATTAAAGTTTCCAGTTTAGTTTCCAGAGTAACAATTCTCTTCTCAAAATCTTCGCTTCTTTCATTTAAGTCAGAAATCATGTCATACATGATGTTTTGAGTCTGAAAGTAGAAGGATTTAAACAAAGGTTTAGAGAGACCTTACAAATATCGTAACAAGCAGCACAACTCTACAGGGGTTTGTAAATGCTTTTGCACTTCACAAAAAAAAAAAGGATATGAATATTATAACAATATCTACTCTTGTGAAATAATTTTCCTTGTAGATTCAGAATAAACTTTCTACTAAATTTGTTGAGCAGAAATGTAATATATTTTGAGTAGATGTCAAGGTCTAAATGAATTAGACAAAAGACCAGACATTTTTTGGAAGTTCAGGTGCTTAGAAATGGACCATGCTAAGCTTTGTGAACAGTCAGCTGTGTAAGCCACCAGGAGACCGAAGGCTCCAAAGCCGTGATCCATCCTTGACTCTTCTGTATTTCCTCTGGTTTTAAACACCCTCATTCTTCTAAGCAGAACACAAATGTTGTTCACTTGCTTTCTCCTTAAACTGATCAGGTTTTCTTGAACTGGCTCTAGTAAAAGCAGTTGACTGGATTATTTTTGAAATGTAGTGCAAGGAGTAAGAACTCAATTGTATGCTTCTCTACTTCTGCGTTCCCCAATCTATCTGCCCTCTACAAAACAGTGTTTGGTTACAGCAGGTATATAGGGTGTACTTTAAAATGCCATAGTGGTCAGTAAAAATGTAATTGAAATGTGTTATTTCATAAAGACTTGGAACTGGTTAAAAATAATGACCAAATTTCTCCCTCTGATAGACTGAGACTTCAGATTAGACTTAAACTAGAGTCAAAACTGGATGTAATTCAGTAGACAAACTGATTGAAGTTTATAAACCATCCAAAGGGAATGAAAATTAATTGAATGACTGACCGCCTGAAGTGTAAAACACTTCAGTATCAGATGACTGTCGATAACCCATTTCTCTGCGTCCTGTTTCAAGGTGCTAGCATAATCCTTGAAAGCAAAGTAGTCTACATTAAATAGTATCTGAAAAGTCCTCATCAGTTGCCAGAAGCTTTACACTGAAATGTATTTTTTTCAGCAACTGAAGTTGTCAGGTGGTTCTCTAAAGCAAAAGGGGAATGAACAAGGAGGAGTTTAATCTTTGCTTTGCTGCATTTTAAATTGAGGAGGGTTTTGAGGTACATGAAGAGGTGTACAAGAAATCCTTAGGAAGAGCCCGTTAATGCTTCTAACGTAGCCTCAAATTAAGATCAAAGTAACTGTTAAATACTGAGGTCTAATGTGAAACCTGGAATGCTATCAGCTCAGCCCTCTAACTCTCTAGTTATTAGTTTATATTAATGAAAAATCCCAACAACAATAGACAGGCAGTTTGCAACTGAATAGCCTCTTTTACCTCATCTCAAATGGCTGAAAAAGGATTAATAAAGCCTTATATTGGCAAAGTAGGCAGCTATTATTCATTATAAAAACTTAAACAAATGCAGACCTAAATTTACTTGTCCAAAGTCACTGCTACATAAGACAACATGAATAGAAAACCAGAACCTCTAATTCCAGTCTGCGTGAAAGCCTGTGTACTATGGTCCCTCACGGCACAGTCACTATCACCAGACAGGAAATCTCTTTACTAAGCAGCACTACACTACTACGGCCCACTCACAGTTCAGCATTTACCATGACCACTGCAGTCACTTCAGGAGCTCTCAGGATCAGCTTCTCAATTGTGAAATCTTTTTCCAAATGTACAAAAAAAAAATAAAATATGGTGCATTCAAACTTTAGTCAGAGCGATAAACAAGATGTTTCATTCAGTAGGTGTTACCACAAAACACACACATATTTTAATTTCCTACAAATAACAAACTTGTTAACAATATTTGCATGTATAACGCATAACATTTTCACTTACAAACTCTTCATTTTGAAACGATGAATGTTAAAAGAACAGTAATTGCCTACTAACCTTTGCCAGGTCCACCAAAGTGTTGGCTTGATCATTCAGTTTCCTTTGTTCCATTTTTACACTTCTTAATCTAAAAAGTGGAATTTTAAGTCAGTTTTTTTTGTTTATGTGGTCATATTAGGATTTCTAAAAAGCATGCACAAAACTTAGAAGAGCAAATAACTGCATGGACAATGCCTTGAGTACTTTGTGTAAAGTCAGAATCAGTCATGTGCCTGCTACAATGAGAAGCATGCTTCTTCAACACCGCAAGAAAGGAAAGAGCAAGGAAATGTGATGTCCTTGAGAATACCATTTGCCAAGGTCAAATTTGAATTAAAAAAGGGAGATAACAATTTATCCAGACTATATGAAAGAAAGCCAAAACATTCCTCAAAGCCTCAGTATCGTGACAAGTAGATATAGGAAGAAACATAGAACAACTGTTTTTTATCATTAATGTTGTAGCAATTAAGAATCTTCCCATGCCTACATGACTAGATACAGGTATTAGCCCTGTTCTGTCGGAAATGGATTGGGTTAGCAGGTGTTTGAACCTGATGGAAATACAGTGATAAGTGAGTTTCTCATTACTGTAAGCAGAACTTCCATCTACCAGCAGCTAAATAACCAATATACTTGCCAATACATTTGATTTTCTGACATAATATGTGAATCTAAATATGATTACATTTTAAACTTACATTAGACTATTCCTTTTCAACGCGCTATTTAAACTACAGCATTGAAAAACAATGAAAGAAGCAGCAAGGGTCTATTTTTTCTCTTTGATGCCTACCTATGTGCATTGTTATTAGTTATGCACATTCTTTGAAAGATATATACATGACCTTTCTTATGTGTTCCCTGAAACAAAGTCCATGTTTTTCAGAATAACTACTAGAGGAGTGGTTTGTAGGTGTGATTTTCACAAATAAGCCATTTCTCCCTTAAGTACGAGTCATTTGTTCAACATTTCCCAACAGAGAAGTACTTGGACATTCAATGACTTTTCTGGTGGCTGTTCTAAGCAGGAAATAGCGTTTTTCAAAAACAACATATCAATTTATAAACAATGTGTGATAAGATATCATGCAGTCGTCTAGTATGTCAAGGGCCAACCAAGTAATAATTTGGTTAGCTGTCAAATGAAATGTGTTTGGCAGCATTTTGTGGCAGGTGGGTTGCTAATGCATACTCTGCCCATTTCTTAGTGATGGTGTTACTTAGAAAGCTAGTTAAAAGAAAGCTTTCTTGGAGATATTCCAAAATCAGAAAGTTTCTGTTCATATCTTCAGTTACCGATCATTTCCCTTATCTAGGCTAACCGCCATGAGAAAATAAGTTGTGGAGAGTGAAATCTCTTTTAAAGCACATGGAAATAACTCTGTTAAGGTAGAAATCAACTGTTCACATAAAATTGACATTCCAGTGGCTTGTTACTGGAATGTCATATGTTCTTCCCCTGGAGGCTTCCTTCAGAGCACAACATGGAGACTGTAGGAATGGTGCTTTCAGAGGCTATGAGCTGGAGCTATTCTAAAGCAAAAAATATGGAGGAGTCTCCAAGGTATGGAGTTTTATCATTACAGTCTCAGAACAGATTAATTAGTCAAAGGTAAGCATGTAATGATTTGACTGGAGAATGATAACCCTAGTGTTTTGGTGAGCATCTCAAATAATTTGCAGAATATGTGTTTTCTGGTTTTCTTAAGATTGATTGACTCATCTGTTTGCCGGTTAGTATTTTAATTTTAAAATTCCAAGAAATCCATTGTTACTGTAGCAATACAAGTACCAGCTGACACCAACATGATAATTCCTCATGGTAACCAATCCAATACCTATCAGAGACTGTAAAAATGTATCTCTAGGTAATGGCAAGTCTTTAGCTGCAGCAGCCGGATTTAAAGAAAACTGTCAGACTTTTGTTCCTAAATTCATTAAGAGAAAATATGAAACATCTTGATTTTATGAACTTCACTTATCACAGCAAAAGATCATGATTCTGGATTGCGTTTCCATGGCAGCAATCAGACCACTGAAGTTCACAAATAAAGACTCTATTTTTTGCATGCAGACAGTGGTAAATTCTGCAAATTTAGAAAGGAACAGCTTATACAACTTACTTCCGAGCTCTATTTTCATTTTGTTGAAATAAAAAGACAAAACAAAAGAAAACAAACTGTAAAATATACTAAAACAACCAAATGAGCACAGTGGGCTCGATTCAGCAGGTGGGAAGTCCTAGGGAGTTGCTACTTCTTTCAATCAGTAACTGCCTGAGGTGGAGTCTAACTCACTTGCACTCATGATAAAGGAACCTGCAATAGCTTCAAGCCATCCCATTAACTATCATCTGTAGATTTTCTTATTCATACAATACATAAAATGCCTTTTAATAGTATAATTTAGAGTGATGATTTCACCTTCATCTTATTTAGTGTGCATGAGAAGCAAAAAAGACCCAGACCAGCTGAAGGCAGTTTTAGAGCTGTGACTGTGAGTTTGAGACTGTTATCATGATCTGCTCTGGTTTCTTGTATAAAACTGGCCCAGAAACTTCACTGCTTTTATTTCTGTCTCCAGTGAAATGGCTGGGAAGGTGAAGGAGGAGGACCAATAAAAACCTAAGAATCCAGAAAGATGGAAAAGAACCATATACTACCATGAGTCACTTGAGAAAAGTTCAAAGATGCAAAGGGAGAAAAAATAATTTGCACCCTTCTACTCTGCTACAGCTGGAAGAAAGCAAACTGCTAGATCAATGTTTTCATCCACGGCACATTGTTCAGCATATTGAGAAAATTATCCTTTTGGTTTTTTTTTTTTGCTTAAATACAAAAGTTTTGGGAATGGGATGCAAAGCCCTAAAGGACAGAGGGAAATGCATCATTAACATAGCTGTTCAAAGTTTGGCTGGCACAGCTAGGAAAAAATTACTGCTGCCACCTTCTTCACCCCACCTGATTAATGAATTTTTAAGGCAGGTGCAGAACAACACTTTACATCCTGTGAAGCTCTTCTGGGCTTGAATGATATATAAAGCTGAAGATCGAGCCTGATGTGCTTTTTAGATTCTTCTCTGAACATGTGTGTGCACACACACACAGACACACACACACACACACAGACAAAATAAATAGCAAAGTTAAAATGTTAAGGAATAACCTTTGCAATCAAGGATTCAAGTCCAGCAAAGGATGCACAGGACATGCCATACTCTATCCCAGAACCCCTGCCACTCCTCTCCGCCTCCCAATCGTTTAAGCTAAGCAGGATGACCAAACTGGGAAAATAGACTTTTTATATCCACATAAAAATGCCTCAACTTTTGTCATCTTTTTATTCCTTCAAGTATTTCTGCAATAGCACAGTAACATTTAATCCTGCAAACCTGCTAAATATAATATAGTAATCAAGGTTTATAGAATACTCATATCTTAAACTTAGCTACCCATTGCTTTAAAACATTGCTATGAAACAGAGAAACAATGACTGTTAGCCTAAATTTAATAGGAAATATGATAACGTGGCCTTTCCTTCCTGTCTTTCCTGCAATATGACACATAGGTGTTCTTTTCATGATGGATGCTTCCCTCACATCTCCTCACAGGTTGGCTCAGACACAGACCCACACTCAAAAGTTATCAAAACATCAGTTTGAAATTAAACTTACTTAATTTATCTCATCTCCCCAATATCTCATGGAAACTAATTTTGTAGGCTGTACAAATGGCTGCCTCAGGCTGGATTGGGACATCGAATAGAGCAGACAAATAGTGGCATGGGTCCTGCCACTTCTTAAGAAGAATCTGTGGTTCTTGGGGACAAAAGTCTCTCTTTTTCTCCCATGTATTCCAAGGAAGAGTAACTGAGCCATTGTGCAATTCTGCTGATTTTGATGTGCTTTATGACAAATATGTATTATGAATTTTAGATAAATACTTATAGTCTGGCAATACCATAATTCAGCTTAATCCTACTACTAGTTACAGTTCTCAGGCTTCTTTTCAACCCCTTAAGATTTCAGGAGAGGGGAATAACTCATCTGAATCATGCCAGAGGTGTTCAAAGGTCACACAATGACTGCTGGCATATAATCCCATTTTCTAGAACGGATGTCAAGGGTCATAGCTGACATACCAACATTTGATTTTACATGCTGAGAACATATGTTGGAAAGAGGCAACTAATTGCTGTTGGGCTGTACAATGACACTTGATGCATATTCTTTTCATTAAATACCACATACATACTCATAGGCTCTCTTCTATCACATCATTCTGATTTTAAATTATTAAAACATCTACTACAAATGAAACTTTTTCCGTTTTCTTCTGTCTATTGTAGCTTGTATCTTACTACCTGTAAGCAAATATATAACAACAAAGGATAGTCTCAGTGGCAAAAGACAAAAAAAGTGTTAGATAATTCAAGAAGCCTGGGAAACTTCTAAAAAATATATAAACAAGTTTGATTTACCCCATATTGGACATACACAGCCAGCATACTTTTTTATTTTTTTGTGAACAGGTAGTACAGTAAAACCTTATCTTTGTCTTACTCTTAGAGAAAAATCAACCTCAAGAGCAATGTTCTAAGAAGGGGGAAGAAAGGGGGGGGAGGGGAGAGAAGGGAGGGGGCAGGATGGGACATGGGGATTAAGAGTGACTATGACGGAGAGGGAAACTAAGAGAGAAAAAAAGGGGGGGGGGAGAGAAGGGAGGGGGCAGGATGGGACATGGGGATTAAGAGTGACTATGACGGAGAGGGAAACTAAGAGAGAAAACACCTGGAGAGGAAAACCAAAGCAAAATAGTACTTACTGATGAATAGCTTGCAAGAATTTGCGTTGATGTTTCCTTACTTTCGCATGGTCTATCTTTTTAACCAGCTTTGTGTTTTTATAAATTAACCATGTTTCCCTGAGTACATTGGCCGCTGCATTTTTCACCTGTTTAATAAAAGAAAAACACCAGGCTGACAAAAGTAGCATTATGTATGTTTTCTCTTTTCTGGTATAAACTCTTCCTAAAGCACTTAAGACCCTGCCTAACTGTGGGAAGTGGGTACATCAAGAAGCTGCAGCAATGAGGGCAGAAAGCAATAACTAGACCAAGGGGACTGCTGAGCAATTTCTGTGTTACTTACAAACATGATATTGGGACCAGCTCTCTTTGCACTGGGGAGTAATTTGTCCCTCTTTAAAAACTTAGCACTGTTTGGTGTTTATGGCAATATAAATTACAGTGAGGAAATATTAATGCATTATCTGTATGGTAATTAACTAAATGTATTTAATAGGATCATAAAATTTCTCTCTTTCTTGTTCTATGGTTAGTACCTCTTAATTCTCTTAGCAATTTAACAGTGTCTTAAATGTCCAGACCTGTTTGAACATACTTTTTTTCTGTTTTTGTTTACATTTTTATTCTTGTTTCTTTTTTACCATTCTCTGAGGAGATGAAACAATATCTTGTCAATTAATGTGGCCAGTGTTCTATTCTATAAGTGCTTTGAATTTTTTTTTAAATGAGGCTTTCCGTAAAATGTTAAAGGCCCTCCAAGATTTTCAAGAATGCTTGAAAACAACAGACAAAGAATTTCAATGCAATGTTGATTAATGACAGAATGACTAGGTTACTTGCAAAGGAAAACTGTCCTTATTATTCATCTTTATTTTCTCTCCCTCTAACTTTATATCATGCCAGTCATGGCAGCATCAGAGCTAAGTCAATGTCTAGGTAAAGGCATTGCAGGAATGCCATGCAGTAGCTCTTCCCAGCAAGAGGTCCCCACCTTGTACCTGTAGAAGTGTTGGAGAACCTTGGTCCTGACTTCAGTGGAAGCACAATCACATTTTAGAGACCTCCTCATAATCTCTACCTAGTCCTTGCATTTCCACAAGGTATGGCTATCTTCAGGCTGTGAGGAAACCTCCCTAGGTCTAGTATCAACAAGACCTTAACTGACTATAACAGGAGGGTAAATCAACAAGCTCAGATAGACACCTCGGCAGACACCCTTTATACCTATATAAGAACTGCCTCCCCACTCATTCTTAGTCTTTCCCCACAGTGACTGCTTAGGGGAGATACAGGCTGTTAGTGGTCACCGGCATAGAAACGAGGGAGCCAGCACAACCAGAGCGGTGTGCTGACGTGTCCTGGAAACACAGCGTGTAGAGACATGACACGGCTCTCCGCAGCAGAGGACCTGTGGCAGTGCAGCACTGCACCGCTGCACAGAGCTGTGTTGAGGCAGCCAACCTCCTTCCCGCCCGGAGCAGAGCCGTGGTTTCCAGCTCAGGCATTGACCTCCCTCTCCACCCATCAGAAAGGACAAGCTCTGCTGAGTTCCTGTTGTGAGCGTAAGGACCTTCCTCTCCATGTTGGCTCTTCTCAGTAACAATGATTTAACAAGTTGAAAGGACTGTGTAGCTCCTACCCATTTTCTTGTTCCCTCAACACTGACCTGTTTTATTTCAATAAAGGATTCCTACTGCCTTGTTTGCTGCATTCTTTCATTTTCCATGATGTTACTGTAATTTAAATTATTTTCATAAGGAAAATTTTAAAATATTTTTTATGAATTCTAATGATTTCTAGAGGTTTTGTAAAACTAATCTTTTCTAAAAATATTATTATCTACAAACATCTTTCAAGGCACTTCGGTACTGTGTGCTGCTAAGTAAACCCTGTGTTGAGTACACAAAGCAATTGGAAAGATTGTCTCACTCACAAACTATGAATATGTCTCTTTCTTAAGAATGTCCGTCATAGCTTGAAATTCTTGTATATATCAGTCATTTCAGCTATTTTAGCTACATAATATATATTCTTCTCCTATGCTGCATGAAAGTTTTTAGTTTAATACAATAGTCTTTAGTTTCACAGCATTTAACTGTTGGTTATACCAATTATCTTCCAGCTGCAAGGACCCTCTATAGAAGAATATTCAAATCCTCAAAATCTGATGAGAACTCGCAGTTGCCCTCAATTCAGAGAAAAGCTCAAGGCATTTGATTCCTCCTCCGTGCAAAAGCACACCCATGAAAAAGTTGAGTAGGAGAACAGAGCAGGAGACTATTTAAAACAAATGCAGAAATAAATTAACACACATTTCCTTTTCAGTTGTGAATATAAAGTGTGACTTACTCTTTTAGTTAGCTGGGTGTCCATCATGAAATTATGCACATGTTTTTCAGCTTTGGTAAGTTCTAACTTCCTTGCCACCACAGCTACCACCAGTGCAGTGCACCCAGCACCCTGAAAACAATAAAACAAACCCCCAAGATGTTACTACTGCATTTTGCAGAGTTTTTAGTGGAAGTTTCTCCTTTGCTGTAGAAGTATGGCAGGCATCAGGTGATTCATCCCCGGTAAATATACTGAACACGCTACAGCTATTTCAGTTCAGAGTAATAGGAAAAGTCAGTAATTACAGGCTGGTAAACTGTCAAGGCATCAAAATAATTAGTGAGCAGCATCATTTAAAAGTTCTGCTTTTTTTCCTGCAGGGGTTGAAAATTTGAATACATCCTATTTCTAGTGCATAAACAAAGGGGGTGATCAAAACAACTTTTAAAACCCAGAATATTAGTAAATAAATGCAGAATACCCTGTTCTTAACAATTGTCTCAAGGTTACAGCAATTGCTAAGGAGGAAATAAGATTAGATTAGTATTTAGCATACAAAAAAGAAAAGTTTCCTAGGATTTTCTGTAGGGCCTAAAAATAATCATAAATTTAGTGTTTAATCACTTTAGTATACTTCCCTGTCATTCTCTGAGTCCTTCAAAAACCTTTTCCTGTATTATTTCTGCTTATCTTATTACCATTTAAAATTGCACACATACACAAGACCATTTCTTCAAAACTTGGATGGAGAAAATATCAATTTTCTAATTTGTGCTGTGTATATGTATGCATATGCATGTTTATACATGGACATGCATGTTCACAACAGGCCAAAGCCAGTAGGTGCCTGTCCCTTTGAAATGACAGTGCCTTTATCAGCATCGTAAATTTAAATGTTTTATTTGGGGGGGAGGAAAGGAAAGGAGGCTAAAATGAGCCACGTAATGAGAAGCAGCATCTATTATACACATCTAGAGGTATCATTAACTTTACACTATTAATAATTTCTGCTGCCTTAGTCTTTTTTTTTTTTAACAAATCTTTACAGGTTCTTTTTTAAAAAGTACGAAAATCACATCATCATACGAGGCTGTGTTTAACTTGCAGGTTCACCCCAATCTCGTTGTTATTGCACCTATGTCAGTTACTTTCCAGTATAAAGCAATCTCTTGTTGCACACTGAAGCTTACCACATTTTCATTCACAGAGCTTTCTTCCACTTTCTGTATTTTTCCCATTAATTTACTCTCTCCATTCCCCACCTCTATAATTGCCTTACTCTCCCCAGAAAATCCAGAAGAAATCTCTGAATCTAGCTTCCAAAATACAAATTCCATTAATAAACACATAGAGATGGCAAAATAAATTAACTCATTGGAAACCCTTATTCACATAGTGTCCTCAAAAAAGTGAATCTGCTCTCTCTGCTTACTTATTGAATACCCAATGAATTTTCTGAAAGTCTCCAATTAATTAATTCTCCATTCCCCTCGTAGATTGTTCCAAGAAATCCATCTGCTTCCTTACCGTCCTGGTTTCGGCTGGGATAGAATTAATTTTCTTCCTAGTAGCTGGTACAGTGCTGTGTTTTGGATTTAGGATGACAATAATGTTGATAACACTGATGTTTTAGTTGTTGCTAAGTAGTGCTTACACTAGTCAAGGACTTTTCAGCTTCCCATACTCTGCAAGCAAGGAGGTGCGCAAAAAGCTGGGAGGGGGCACAGACAGAACAACTGACCCAAACTGGCCAAAACGATATTCCATACCATACGACGTCATGCTCAGTATATAAGTTGGGGGAAGTTGGCTGGGGGGCAGTGATCACTGCTCAGAGACTGGCTGGGCATCAGCTGGTGGGTGGTGAGTGGCTGCATCACTTTGTTTTTCCTGGATTTTGTTCCTCTCTCTCTTTTGTTGTTTTCCTTTTCATTACAATTGTAACTATTATTATTATTTCAAGTATTAAACTGTTCTTATCTCAACCCACAAGTTTTCTTGCTTTTGCTCTTCTGATTCTCTCCCCGATCCCACCAGGGGGTGGGGGTGGGGGGTGAGCAAGCAGCTGTGTGGTACTTGGTTGCCGACTGGGGCTAAAACATGACGCTCACAAACACCTAATTCTCTGCAATTAGTTCTCACCTATCAAAGCTTCTATCCCCACAGCTCTCAACATTCCCTTGAATGAGTCCCTTGTAATTTTGCTGCATTTCCTGCTTCTCTCCTGTCCTTGATACTAAGCTTTCTAGCTTTGTATTCCCTCTCCCTCTGTTCTCCAACCCCGTGTCGATAGAAGTTCATGGGAATTTACTTGAAGTCTTGCTCTCTCCATGAGATGAGTCAAAACGGAGTTGTAAGTTCCTTTGCTTCTCCAGATCCCACTAAGAGTTAAAAAGGAAGAAGACAGCCAATGCAGCTTAAGGCTGAGCACTTCAGTAATGCACTGAGCCTTCTGAGAGGAGGACTAGGCAGGAGATGCTCTACCATATGCCCTGCCCCCTCAGACAATAGACAGCTCTCCTTTGGTCTCCTTCCTGTGAAGGAGGGCAGGAGCGAAGTGCTAATATGCAGAAGACTTCTCTGTGGGCAAATAAATAAATAAATTACCCCATACAATAGCAAGAACATGAAGAGAAAAGCAGACATCTTTTGGCCCAGTATGTCAGGATAACCGGGGCCAGATGTTGATTTAATGACATAACTTGAGTTCTGCCTGCTACAGCAAGAACGCTAAAATGGAATGAGATTATTAATACAGACACCACTGGCAAAGTGGCACAAAACAGCTGTTTTGTTACCTGGTAACAGCAAGTTA